CAAGGGCAGTTAGGTAATTTGGAGGTGCCTAGGGGCAAAAGACCAAGTTAGGCATTTCACATAGAATTTGATAGATATTCATTCTAGATGAACTAGGGATTAATATATTGTGAAGATATGGTGTATCCTAGTTCCAGGGTCGACCCTAAAGCCAAGTAATCCTATAAGGACTTCTTGAATTTTTTTATAATGATCTTACCTACTAAATGCTAGATGTTAAGATCAATATGTGGAATTTCAAGCTGAGTAAAAGGAATAGTTTTGAATTTCTAATGGTGGGGTACCTCTTCTAATTTTCTAAGACTAGTCAATAGGAAAGTCCTATGGCTAGACCTAGGCTTACTAAAGAAGTTTTCTAGACCTCAACCAAAAGTGAGGTCAACAGACCCCTAAGGCTAGATCCTAACTCCCACGAGAAATACTAGACCTCACGAAAATTGAGGTCAACATAGACTCCCTGTGGGCCGTTTAATATTTTTCCCAGTTCTCTAAGCTTTTACATTTAAACCAATTTTTATAACATAACTTCTAATATTTTATCTTTTCTTGCACATTATTATTCCACCACCAACTATTTTTATTTATAAAAACCTTTTCTTTTGATTCTCCAATCACATCTTTCGCTACCTGTTTAATAGCGTATTTTAAGTTTCTCTATCTAATTCTACGATGATGAGTACTCCCTGTGGGCCGTTTAATATTTTTCCCAGTTCTCTAAGCTTTTACATTTTTAAACCATTTTTTATAACATAACTTCTTATATTTTATCTTTTCTTGCAAATTATTATTCCACCAACTATTTTTATTTATAGGAATTTTTCATTTTGATTCTCCAAGTTCATTTTTTGCTACTTGTTTCATAGTGTTTGTTACTTTATCTCACATAGGATTTGATTCTTCATGAACATCCCAAATTTTGAAATATTGAATTTTACTCATAAAAATAATTTTATTTGTGTCTTTTAAGATCTCCCATCTAATTCTACAAATGACCTTACAAAATCTTTACAATCGCGACGATCTCTTCTTCTCATAAGAAAATAATCAATTTGTGTTTTATTAGATCCACTCTTATAAGTAACAAGATGTTCATCTCTTTTCTTGAATAAAGTATTAGTAATAACAAAATCATACGCTAAAGGAAAATCTAAAATAACTCTACCTTCTTCATTAGTCACTCCAAAATCATAGCCAACATGAGCATTTCTGAAGTCTTCTATCACTCTACCGACATGTCCATTTAAATCTCCTCCAATAAAAATTCTTTCTTCAAGAGGTATCATTTGTATCAAGTCTTCTAAGTCATTCCAAAATTTATCTTTAGACTCTGTATCTAAACCTACCTGAAGAACATAAACACTTATAATATTAAAAATCTTAGTATCAATGATAATTTTAAAGGCTATGATTCTATCTCCAACTCTATTAATTTTACAACATTAATCTTTCAAACTCTTATCTATAATTACACTTAGATCATTTCTAGTGCGACTCTTACCAGAATATCAAAGTTTAAAACTTAAATTATCAATCTTCTTAGCCTCTTCTCTAACCCACTTAGTTTCTTGAATACATAAGATATTAATTTTCCTATGAATCATAATATCAAATAATTCCATTAATTTACCATTAAGAGTACCTATATTCCAAGATCCTATCCTAATATTAGTTTCATTAGTTTTATGGACTAACTCTTTACCTGCATTCGCCTGTAATGTGGGAACCCTTGCTTATTTAACACTACACCTGGGCGACAGTGTAGCGGCTCTTGCACACTTTTCACTGTATTCAGGCTATACAACGCGCCGCTTTCAGGGGACGCCCTAGCACTTACACAATGATCAAAAGAATTCATGTCATGATTTTTTTGATAAGTTTTACGCTGGCTGTAGACTAGCTAACGCAACCCTCCACTTTTTACATCTGGGCTTGAGACCGACAACGACAGTGTTAAAACTGGGTAGCCCTAGCACTTACACAATGATCAAAAGCATTCATCTAGGGCAGTGAACTTTTTAAATGCACAACTGGGTGACCTAAATTAATGAAACATATTGATTTCATGCCTGGATGTAGTTTATTAATGTTTATAGATGAGATCATTTCTGCATTATCAAGAGAAAATTTCAAAAAAATTAATAAATAACTTGAGAAGGTATTTATTTGATGATGACGGTGACAACGCAATTCTAAGAGTGAGTTTGACAATATCAGATTTGATATAAGGATTATTATACAGCACTATTATATGAGTACATAGCCATCCAAATTGTATGATCATGTAATAAACTACTAAAGCTAGTTTGTAATGAAATAAATAAATTGATCCTGGCAATAGACTGATGGACGCATTCATATTCACATGGTGCAGTGCTAACTCTGCCTATATTTATTTATAAGCATGTCCTTGCTTAGGATTTTGCTACCATTCACTCCTGCTTATGTCAGTCAACAAAATGCTACTTCATCTTCTACTTGAGGGTTATTCGATAAAGGTGGCTCACAATGTATACAATGATACCAGCATCAAGTTTAAATTACTTTGGTCGCCATAATGATGCTTGTTCGTGAAGATTATCTGTGTCGATGCATACAAAATGTCAAAAATGCTTAGTGATCTCTGCATGATTGCGAAATACCAATCTAAGTGCACACGTGACTAACGACTTGCATTTTTGAGGCACATGAATGATGAATATTGTGATAACCCTACACACACTTTTCTGAGCACAATAGAGAGAATGATGTTTGATTGACAAATTATAAGTATCCGTACACACTTAGCGTAGTGGGGAAATCCTGCTGTTATGTATTTGCTTTTTGTAGGTTCGAAAACTTGTATGCACATTTTTTTTGCATGGCGAGATATCTAGTTTTTCGGTCATGGCAGAAGCCACCTATACAAACATTTTCCAGCTTAGTTGCCATCCTACCTAGGGAGGGAATGCTAGAATGGTGCTGGATTTTCGACTGAACGGACCTTTACGGCAAAAGATTTAAAAGAACCCACCAAATACAAAAATAATCAAAATAATAAGAGAAAGTTGTAAAACTAAAAAAAAAACGAGTTATTTAAAACACAAGCAAAAATATAAGATCAATAGGTGACTTGATAGCTTATCATCAAGCTTAATTGTAACGTTATGAACTCGATATTCATCTATGATAATGATCATGAATCTTTTTGTATATCTAACCTACTTTGGATGATCGAATAAACCCAAATTTGACATATACCAAAAATGACTTCAACGAACACATAATTGAATAGTACAGGAAGGCTTGTGATAAATTGGGTAGCTCACTTATTAGTAAGGACGCGACTTGACCGATTGTTTACTAGCACAAATAAAAATTGAAGTCCTGTCTTTGAATATGAATAAGATTTCTTGTTGAATATTACAAGCTCAAAGAGCTTCTAAGCTATTAATTTAAAGTGGTGAAATGAAATTTCATATCGATGGTCGAAACTTGATGCTTTGTTGGCCCCATGGTATTATTATATAAGATCAAAATTTTGATATCATGAAATACTTGAAATTTATATTTTCCAATTCACCCCCGGATCCGCAGTCTTTATTTGTGAGCAGAGAGAAGACGAAGATTGAAGCTTAAAGTGGAGTATATGCGCTTAACCTAATGATAGATTACTCGCGTAAATATTTAATTTTGTGGGTGATTTTAGGAACACAAGCTTTTGGCAAATTTCAATTCACCTTTCTCGCACTTAAGTTTGTCCAGGTATTTAAAATATGCAAGCAATAAAATTTGAATCAACTTTCTTATATGCTACTTAATTGATAACTTCCGAAATACCTGAATTAGCATGCAAGCACACTATGCAAATGCTCCTAAGTCTAGGCAATTGCATTAGGCAAATGAATCAAAATTAATGTGAATATGCCTACACAAGCTCATCAAAATACGTTCACTTGATAAATCTTAATATCTGCATGTGCTCCGACCATTGTACTGAATGCTCGATTGTGTTGTCTGAAAATGCCATTGGGTTTAAATTTAATTGAATAGTAAAATATGTTACTTTTAAAGTGCATGCTAAATTCTTAATAATCATTTCACCTTTGCCCTGAGAAGCATGCAAGTGATTTAAAAATACCCTATTACTTTGAAGATTTCAAACTTATTTTAAAAATCAAAAGATTAAAATTTTAAATTTCACGCTCTTGGGCGGGCCACCTTGCCTATAGGGTAGGGTCATAAGTCCCACTAACCTAGTGCGATCCTCGTAATAAAGACTAAAGTTGACAAAATTGAATGCTACCTAGTTAGTTTGAACATTCTCTATGCAGTCATTGAAGTTGATAAGAAAATGATTAAATGTTGGTTTGTATAAGAAACTGGTAGATAATTTTTTTATATCCACATGAAATTATCAAAATTTTTATTAACAAATTTGTCTTAGACCAATTTCTCAATAATACAATATTATTTAAAAAATATAAGAATGAGTTCAATCAATGGGTTTTGATCCATTCAATGGGTGTTCTTACATTCAATGGGTGTTCTTAATTTATTTTTACTGTATAACGAGCACCGCGTAGAAACATAAGAAAAAGGAGGATGCACATCCTTAAAAGCTGCCATTGGTTAGTGAATTATCCTCCATTTTTTTGTTTAACTTTAGAACATTCAAAAATTAAAAATGAACTAGTATCACTGAAATAATTCCTTCTATATCATGTCAACAATGTCTTTATTTGATTCCTCAATTACCAAATGATTTTTCCTTTTTCATTTCTTTTAAATTACCTTAAACATTCAAGTTTGCCTGATGCGTTTTTCAATCTTTGACGATTGGAAATACGTTATAAGATTAGAGTGCCAGATATCGCGTCAATTTCAGCTTTAATTTTCCCATATATAACTTAATTTTAGCACATGGTAGTAGTTTCAGTCAAAACAGTCTCCTGCACTGTTTTGTAACGACTACTGTGGTACTTATTTGTATGAATGAATGTATGAATATACACAATGGAAACATCCCTTGCCCATTTTTGATGTATACAATGAAGATAGTCATCTCTTTTTCCTAGAAATGTTTCACTGCAGGCAATGAAGGTATCAAACGTAGTCAAATTAAAAGAAGAATATGATTCTGAGAACAAATACAGAAAGCTTCAGTGCCAGATAGATAATCTTACATCTGAAGTGGAAAGACAACACAAAGATAAACTGCAGCTGGAGAGGAGATTATATGAGCGTGAGCTGACTCTAGCTGAAGCCGAAAACAAGCTAGTTGAAGCTGAAAAGAAGCTAGCTCAAGCTGAAGAGAAGCTTGCTGCAATATCCGAGGTACCTTCTTAGCAGATTATTTGCTTAATTTCCAAAGTCTTCTGCTCATGATTTCTGGAATCGTATTTGTATTTGTATTATTATTATTATTATTTTGATAAACCTGTATGTGCATGTAAAAGCTATCCTAATGTTCCACGTGCTTGGCCCAAGAGCTAAAAGGCAGTCGGCAGAGGCATTGCTTTGAGCGCAATTTCAGCCAATAGATGTATCTGAGGGTTCATTCGGTTGCTTGTAGATGGAAATCATGTTTAAATAAGTGATGTTGATATTAATTCATTTGATTTAGAAAATAAAAGCCTGCGGTTCATTTGAGTGATTTTGAAAATTTTTATAGAATAAAAAATCTGTGCTGATTTATAGCTACATTCAACCAAATGAGAGAATGTATTTAATTCATCATTTTTCAAGGCTTGTTTTCTAACTTCACGGAATTAAATGAGCCCATATGTGAAAATGACATTCGTTAACTTTGTTGGATTTTAAAGCTGTTTGAAGGTTTAAAAACCAATGTATTCTTCTAAAGATGTCAACCGAATCTAATAAATTCATTGATTTTCAAAACATGTTTCCTGGCTTCAATTGGCCAAATGAACCTGTACATACATTGGAAGCTATTTTTAGAAAGATTTAGGTAGCAATCACTTCGTAACAGTACCTTAAATGGGAGAAAGGAGTTACACGTCAATTTTCTTTCCCGTTTTACTTCGTCACGTTCTTATTCATGTTGCTAATCTTAAGCACGTTTTAAATTAAATTGCTTACAAAGCCAGCTTACTATTTTTTTCAAAAAGCAAGCTGTTTAGGTCAATACTTTCAACCCTTTCCTAGGACCTACATTGTTGGGAGCTCCATGCATTTGATACACATTTGTATTCTCATTTTTGGGCACTTACATATATACCACACAATTCTTATATATTTACATACTTAACACTTGCACTTTCCTATTTACATGCATAACACTCAAACCTTCAACATCACATTTAAATATCACTCTTACTAACTTTATGAAAACGAAATTGGTTTTATAACAACAAAGTGTTATAAATGTTAATATCAAACTTTAGGTGTTAGATATTGAAATACATAAGAATTGTGTGGCATGTATGTAAATAATATATGTACGCAGTTACTTCTCCACCATGTACTAAACTACTAATCCACTAAACCGGTCATTGATTTGTCATGCTTGGAGGCGGAGATTAAATTTTACGAACTTCTCGTCAAATTTTTTGAAAGTGACAGATGGACCTGATGGCACTTAATTGCTTTTTCTTAAAAAATCTCTATAATTTTCTTTTCCTTAACCTTTTGGAATTTCACTTATTCTCATTTCCTTAAAAAACTTCTATAAGATGTTACTTTTCTTTAATCTTTTGAAATTATCTGCTTCAATTATAACATGCCAAATCAAAATATACGATGTATTTTTAATTTGATAACGTATTGCACTTCAATTGCAGGGCCAAGTTGAGGACTCTTCCTATCAGGTGACACTTGCTTTGAATGAGATGAGAAAACTAGAAGAGGAGCGTTCTCCTCATGAAAACGTAGAGGATGAGCTAATTGAACTTCTGAACTATGGTACCGCGAAATTTGCCGAGGTAGAATTATATTTGCAAATCCAAATCATTTATGCTAAAATATTATTGCAATTCAAAAGCTTGAAAATAGCGCATGAAAATACTAAATTCTGAAATGTAGGCAACAAATAAAATCAATTTGCTGATCCAATTGGAAAATCATCAGTCTGCTGCTGCCAATCCAAGAGCTCATGCTATGGTTATTTGGTTTGCTTTGTTGCTCCTTACTCTGTTTCTTCTGTATTTTCTTAGGTAACAATCAACTTGTTTTTGTTCTGAATCAAGGGGACATGTTGATCGAGTTATGTGAATATTAGTATGTTGCAAGATATTTTGATCAAAATTTTGATCGAAATTTGATTAGAATGAAACTTTGATCCATTGAATTTGCTTTCAATTTAGTGCAATATAGGATTAATCGAAAACTTTAATGGGAATATGAACTATACATTTTTCATAAATTAATGTTATATTTTCCGGAATTGATAGTAGTTGATCTCATATTTCTATTACTAGCCTATTCATCTTGCTGAAAAAATACAAATTACTGTTAACATTCGTTTAAATTCTGCAACATACATGCTACACATATGTAACACCAAAACTTTCATATTAGATGCATAGCATTAAAAAATGGGGCATTTACATTTATGCCATCCAATTCTTGTGTATTTATATATGACACCTAAGCTTTACTTTCTACATTTATATCATATAGTTTTTTCATATCACTTAAAAATACCACCATTTTAATTCTTAATATTTAAAGTACACATTGTCATGCATAGGCTTTTGAAATCAATGTTATAAATATAAATATCAAAATTTGAGTCTATATTTGGTATGTATGTAATTTTTTTTTTTGGTGGATTTAATTTTATGGTAATTAATTTGAATTTGTAGATAATAATTTGCGATCTAATTAGCTAAATAATTCTACAAAATTTGATTTAAATAAAGTTGCTAATAGTTTGTAGTTAATAATTCTTTATATATTCATGTTTGTGTATGTGTATATATTTAAACATACTACACCAATATCCATTATATAGCAACTTTAAATTTTAACAGTTAAATTTGTGAGGATGAATAACTCTATTCCTCTAAATATTTAGTTGTTGAACATTTTATTTACTATCATTTTGGAAGGATATAGCCCTTTTATTTTTATATCTTTCTTCTTTCATAAAAATTTTTGAACGACTAATATTAAGTAGCTAAATGATATTATTTATTTTTCAGTGAATTTTAGCTACTCGTAGTCTTAACATTCAAAATTTGTTATGAAATATGAAAAACTATGAATGAAAAATAACATTTATAATTTTAAGAGAATAGTTTATTAGCATACACGTGCTCTTTGTATCTAGAGAGAATATTAGAGTATGTAAGCTATTATCCTTCTAGAAGGTTAATAGCTATTATGCTTACACTTCCTATTCTAATGTCCATATGTTTCAATACTTGAAAGTTTAAAAAATAATTGTTCTTTTTAAAATTTTGAATTCAGTAATCTGCTATAATTTACAAAGGGTGCAATATGAAGACATAAATATGATAATTCGTACTAACACTACTCTCATAGAAACATGCATAATTGTATAATTGTAATGTTAGATATCATTTTAGTGTTAATATGATTTAGCCACCTTTTATGAGATGCAATGAATTTACTTCTTAGAGTTTTTCAATTGTGCCATCTTCTTAAAAAGGATTCCTATAATCATATTTAATAAAAGGAAGCATCCCAAGCAAACCATTCATTAGTTCTAATAGGAGGTAGATGCTTTCCATCAGAGGCAGACCCAGGTAAAGTCCAGGGAAGACAATTTGACCTTTTGCGCCTCCAAAAATATCACTTTGCCCTCCCTAGCCCTTCCTACATTGGATCTAAAAGGGCAATTTGTCTCCCCTCAATAAAGAGGTTGGTTTTGCCCTTGCTTAATTCCCATCTCCAATGGTATGTGAGGTATGTGAGCATATTTTATTTCTATTCAGATAAGACTATATCAATAATTCCATTAGAGGAGGGAAAGTGTTGCCTTAAATTGTGGGCAAAAATCATGCATCACTTCCAATAGAAGGCATTTTCGTAACATCTCTGATTTGGAGTGATCATATTCCTTATTAATTGGAGACCATATGTGTCGATTATAATAAGATATAATGATGCGGTCTAGGCCATATGTCCGGGACACACCCAAGTTGTGCATGCTTAAGCAAGGCTTGGGTAAAATCAAACTTGGGCCAATTCTAGCGATCAAGTTCATGTGTTATAACTAATTAAACCAATGTTGACCGATTAAGGTAGGGTTCATCTTGAAATTTATAACCATGTTTATCTTATATTCCTAATTAAACCAATGTTGACCTTTTAAATGTTCGATTAAGGTAGGGGTCATCCTGTTGTCATCTTGAAATTTATAACCATGTTTATCTTATATTGATACTTAGGAAGTTAAATTGACAATATTATTGCTTTAATATGGGGTTTAGTATCATTAATTTTTATACTTAAGGGGATTTATATATATCCCCTTAGGTATAATACTCTACAAAAACAACATGCATCCAATGTTTAAGAATGTTAACTTAGGTAGGTACGTGTGGGTGGTTGGGTGGAGTGGAGGGATGAAGATATGGAGAAGACTATACAAGTTGATTGCAATCATTTTGCTCACTTTTCGACAAACATTGAGTGTTTTTCATTCCTCAAAGGAAGACTTATTATTACTATTATTATTTGGCTCAAAAAATGCTTTTTATTTGTTTTCCATAAACTCTCTATGCATAGAAATCTACCGTCATTTCCTAAAAATAACTCAGCACATTAATAGCTTTCTCATACCCCTCGATTAGAAAAATAACTATACTCATTTGAGGTAAAAAAACACTTATTAGAAGCCCACTGGAATTACACACGCGAGCGCGCGCGCGCGCGCGCACATACACACACACACA